CCCTCGCTGGGGCGAGAACTGGGCAATTCAAAAGCTGACGCTAAACGCACATGGGAGCAGGTGGCCGTGTTATTTGTACGGGGGCTGTAAGATTAACCATGGGGAAGAGAAAAAGTTTTCTGGTGCTTTAAGCTAGGGAGAGCAAAAAAACCTTCCTCCCAGTTTCTGTCATGCTAAGATGATGCCGTGGGACCCAGCACTGGGCTGCTGTACTGGGGAAGCATAAGGGAAGGTGCGGGATGCTCTCATGAGGGACCGGTAGGTATCATTAGAAAGGGAAGAATGTGGGCTGAGAACCAGGGAAAACCGTCGAGGCTATGGAAGCTGGTGCTGCGGGTCTGGCTTGCAGAGCAGGAACCGCCGCGGGAAGGGTTGGGAAGCTCTGGAAGCGGGGACTGGGTGGTGATGGCAGGGTATAAAGGTGGCCCTGCGCAGGAGAGGGCTTATTTGGCAGAAACAGGGATTCTAATTGTTTATAAATGTAAGTTTTAATTTAAAATTGATTGCAACGTAGGAAGTCAGTCTCCGGAAAGGCCTTTCCTGAGCTGTCTATCCCTAATTGGATATGTTTAGATTTCTGTCCTCTGTTGTTAGGTCTTTGGGCTTAAATTTTCTCAGCAACTGGTGCAGTCTGCAGTTCTGAGATACATGATGTATCTCTGTATACCTTTCCAGTTAATAAAAGAAAAAAAGGTTCTTTGCCATGTCATTAATCATATTGACAAATAGCCAGAACATTTCCAGAAGAAAAATTTCCTTTCTGTTTTTAAAAGTAAAATCAAGCTGATACCAAAGGCATTTACGCTATTCTTTGTGTGCTGCCATATCACAGCAAAGTGCAAGAAGTTCTGTCCCAGGGCAGTTGCTTACAGTTTGCGTTAGAAAAACAAAGTTCTTGTGAAGGATCCTGTGCCCCAGTATGGTGCAGCTTTCCATGTGTTTTCAAAATCTTCCGCTGATGATCTTCCTCTCCCTTGTTGATCCTGCTCTTCAGTTGTCCTTATTAAACACCACCAGCACAGCTGGCAAGAAGTTATCCTCTCTGGAAAGCTACGCTGTTGTAGGAAATACTTGAGGTGAAGGTAAACCAGCGTGAAATAGGAATTTGCAGTCATGTAGCAGTTCTGCAGAAGCCCAGGAGGCTTTTGTTTCTAAATCAAAATAATTCCAAAAGCATCTCCAACTTCATTTGCTTCCGTCTGTGCTGTGGAGGAAGAAGTTAAGCAAGTGCAACAAAAAGTCTCAGAAATGAGAGATTAAATGGAAAGAGCTTGTTATTTTTGTTAATGAAAAGCCATAATCTTTCAGCCAAAGTCTTTTTTTCCTGCATCATCTCACTCTTGTAAGGTGTGGTATGAAAGGTGTTAACTTTCTCCGGTTGCTTGTTTTCGCAGCCATTTGGAGTATGTGTTAAACCACTGGGGCCACTGCCCTAAAAATGCAAAAGATGGTGCTGTTATAAGTAAAATGTCCTGTTTTTTCGGTTGTTGCTGTAAGTTTGAGCAGATCCCAAAATACGTTTTCAGCTGGGTTCTCAGATTCAAGCCAAAAAAAAAAAAAGTCAGGCTTTTGGGTCTAAGCTCGGAGTTGGGATAAGCAGAAAGTGCTGCTGACAGTTTTGGGAGACGGACCCACCTTCTTCCCAGCCGAATCCAGTTTATGTTACTGTAAAACTTGCAAGGGATTCATCCTGCAAAGCAGGGATGCTCCAGCTGGAGCCGCCTGCCGGGACCTGCGGTGCGGGAGGACCGGGCTTGGGCTGCTGCCCTTGGCCGCGGGGTCTGGGACCTGTCTGGCAGCAGCGTTTCCTCGTATCTCTCTCTCCCACGTGCCTTTCCCTGATTTATTCCTTCCCGAGGATGGCCTGACCTCTGAACACTTACACTCCAGCTACCCAGCACATCTTAAGGAGGGTTTTTGGGAGGGGGTGCATTACATCGGCCTCAAACTATGCTAGTAATGTTGGGTTTGTGGGGTTTTATGACTAATTTGATAGGAGATTTGATTAGGCAGGAATATCGAGTCTTTATGGCTCTAGGGTGGAAAGTGGCTCCTATGAGCCATATTTATTTTTTAGATGCGTTTAAAGATTGTTTTGACTATGTGTTTTGATGTCCGTCAGGAAGCAGAAGTCAAGAGATTAAAACGTTTCTTACTTTTCCTTAACAATTTGTGGGTGTTGTGACCACAGAGTGAGAACTTGCAGAGCTAAGGGAAGCAGAAGCTTTTCCATTAAAACGCGTATTTTGTGCAGCACAGCTGTCACACGTATGCAAAGGAGGGTTACGTGTTGCATTTATTTTTGTTTCCTTGCTGTATGTGAAAAGCACAAACTTGGCACTGGGACAACATGGACTGGCTGCGGCAAGGCAGCCTCTTTTCGAGTGCAATTTATTTTCCTGCTCCAAACAATGATTTTAACAGCAGCTATTAAAATTTTGATGCCGTTTCCAACTCGGGAAGTGGCGTGTGATTTATAAAGAGGACGCTGCCCGCGCTGCCAGCCTGTGGCAGTCAGCGCACCTCTCCCTCGTTAAGGGCCATCCCTTGGGAACTTTCTGTGCTTTTTTACCTCTCATTTCCTGGGAATGGGGGAACTGAATTCCTCTGGCTCCTCCAACCCCATCGTTGCTGCCCAAGGAAGGCTGGGGGCTGCTGTCAAAGCCTTTGGTGGTCGCTCTGTGCTGCCGAGTGCCAGCCGAAAGCTGGTGGTCATTGCCATCGCTTTGCCCCCGCGCATCACTCTGGGCTTAGTATGCCGGGAATTGGCTCTACATTTCATGCATAGCGGGGCTGGTAAATCTCATAGCTAATTGTGTTATTCGGCCGGTTACTGAGCGGCGCCGGGGCTCTGCGCCAGATCTCCGCCGGCCATTTGGCAAGGGACGCTTGTTTTTCTTCCAAAAAGTGTCAGTGGCGATTCTGGATCCTGCCGTGCCCTGGTTAATGAGTTATCTGTGCCCCAGCTGCTTTGCCAGTTTAGTAAATGCCTGGCGCATATAATCCGTGTTTTGTACCGTATTTGACAGTGGGTGTCTCTGCAGGGATCCAAAAGTATATAAACACGCATTATAAATTACAGGAAAGGTTAACATAGCAATTCCCAGTTAATGTTAGATTATTAGCTGCTGGTTTTAGAACTTTACATGTGTATTTGCACACCCGTGTGTGTACTGCACTGAATGTGCCTGCCCTTAGACTTCATGCAGCAGCAAAGCAATGTGAATAAAGACAACTTGATTTGTAAATGAAGTCCCCCCTCTAGCTATCACAGAAGGCATGTATGTCACCTGATGTTTTTATTTATCACCTTCTCTTTTACCCATAGCATCAAGGCACCCAACTTGGTTTGTGTTTGTGTTATAGATAGATGTTTTTAAACAAATAAACCCTTATGAACTTTCAGGTATTCTTCAGTCGCTGGTTTCTGTTCTTGGCAATGCCGAGTTGTACGTATCAGGCACCCAATTCCACTATTGTTCATGACCAACACTCCTAGAAAATTGCTGCCCTCATTGAATTGTCGTTGTCATACAGTTTTAGTTTAAAATTAGAGTTTTATACAATGAAAATTTAAGAAGGGTGTTAAATATAGCGTGCTCCGGATTTGCCAGTCTTGCAACAGTGAGCAGCATCTGGCACAGGAACTTGGACGTTTTAGGGTTGATCAAATTCCAGGATTTTTTTTCTGGGTGTGTAAAGGCCTCTGTAGGAAACATGGGCTCTCAGATTTGTTTCTCCTGTGGTTTCAGCACAGCTGCTAGAATATATCAATGGAGGCTTACACGTCAGAGAAGTCTGCAGGAGGCAAAGTAATACATGTTCTCAACACCAGCTACGCTGGCACTTAATGTAAACCTGCTCAGGGCTTTACCCCGAGTAGTTTAACTCATCTTAAAGCCAGTAGCTTTTCTATCAGCTGCCTCTAAATGTCGTCTGCTGTAGGTCTGGGTGGGACGTCTGCCTCGGGAGCGCGGGCTTCAGGAGGAGCCGCAGCGGCGGTGGGGAGGTGGTGCAAAAAGGCTGCGAAAACTTGAGTTTGTGCATGTTTGGGAGGTGGCCAGAGGGAACTGGCCGCCCGTGGCCATATCCTTGGCAAGGGAAATAGGGGAGCTGGCCGTAAGAAAGGTTTGAGGTAGATTTTTCAGTGAGGCCAATCTCAAAATACTGTAGTCTTTGTGACTAGAATTAAACCACAAGTGCTAACCCCTCTTAGCTTTCGCTTTCTTGCACTATGAAGTACTTACGATTTTTACTTTACTCTGTTTCAGGATCATTACACCGATAAAATCAAAGCAAGCCGGACAGGTAGCAAGACTGCCTTTGTAGGTGAGTTTCCAGTACGCGCTTGTTCTTTCCTTTCATGCAAAATACAAAGCAGCATCACAAGTCCCAAACCCCAGTGATTTAATCTTATTCTGGAGTAGAACAAATACAGAACGCTCAGCAGCTTTATGGAGGAGAGGCCACAAGGATGGCACCGGCTCCGTGGCGGGCACGGCAGCCAGGCAGGTTCTGCGCTTGCGGCTCGGTGCAGTGGTGGCTGCTGCCCGCTCTCAAGCATTAGCAGCACGTTAGAGGTTGCTGACTCGTTCACCTCCATTTTTAACTGCTTGACCACTCTTGCATTGAATATTAGGGGGCAGAAATGCTGTTTTGAATGAGCTGCTTCTGTCATGGAGATTAGGCTTTTTCTTGTTTATTCTATCAGTTAGCAAGGGGCAGCGTGGAAGTCTTCACCATTTCTGTATTTGCTGTGTTACATGTCTATTGTTTGACCATCTTGGAATGCAAATTCTTCCTATATTCACCCCAGTTTTAAAATAGGTAGTTTGATAAATGCATGTAACCAAGAAGCTTGTGAAGTACTTTGCACCCTTTCAGTGTCTTTCAGCTGGGAACCACAAAGCTCTTCACAGAGCATCTCCCACCAGCGTCCTCGGCTTTATCTCTCTTTCAGACTAAAGAATTTGCTGAAGGTCACGTAACCTGAGGCCAAGCCAGTCTGGTGCTTTAATCACGGACCGCTCCTGCTTTACATGCTGTAAGATGAACTGATTTTGATACCACTAAAAGTTTCTTTGCAAATGTCTCTTTGTAGTTTGTGTATGTCTTTTCTGGTGTGAGTTAGCTGGGTAGTGCCCTGTGGGGAGAAACAGGTACCTTCTGTGAAGAGTCTGCACCACAGTTCGTTAGGGAGCACAGGTTGTCTTTACTAATGACTTCAGGCCGATGTCTTTAAAATTACACTGCTCAGACATTTTTCAAAGTAACCTTGATCTAGAAGTCAGTTTCCGTGGCTTTCATTTGTACTAAAGATATAAAAAGTTAAGTCGGAAAAAATGCAGAGGAAAATAAAAGCGGGTTTTTCCACTACTCATTTCCCAACAAGTAAATTGGGTTTGACAGAATCACATGTATGGTGGCTGACTTTGTAAATCAAACGTAGCTGTAGCCCAGTTTTGATCAGCAGGATGGTACTGGGATAACTTGTGAAATGGAGGTTATGAAGGAACACATCCTTAATTAAATACCCAGAACGCTAAATCCAATTGAAGATCTTGGGAGTTGTCTGTTTTCTTTCATTTCACATTATTCGGGATTTTTATACGTTTTAGAAGGACTAATTAAGACACTGGAGGCATTGTTTATAATTTTAAAAAAGATCTCAACTGTAAAATCTCTAAATGTTCTCCAGTGTAAATTCTCTGAAGAAGGAAACATCCCAAGTTGGTGTTCTGTGCTTTAAGGAGCTTGTATTCTCCATGTGCGCTGACGGGCTGCTCGCCTCTGGGGAAAGCAGGTGTATCTGCATGCCCAGACTTCCCATCGCTAACCTAGTGCTAATTACTGCGCTTCCTCCAAGAGATACGGATGGAAGGAGAGTTTGGCGTTGCTTATCTTTTCTGCTGTGAAAGTGGGTTTGAAAACTGCTGATCTATACTGTAATCCAAACGAGGCAGACTAAACAGAGCTGAGGTGTGCTGGTTCCCCGCTTTCAGCTGACTTTTATACCTCTGACGTGTAATACCCTGTCTCTATTTGCTTCAAGCTCATGTCTTGCGAGATCTGTACTTGTGCAGACTATGTAAAAGACCAAGCGACTTTGTGCAAAACAGAAGCTTTTGTGCCCAGCAAAACAGAAGTTGGGTCTTCTGGGGTGCCTGAGTTTCCCCAGTCCCTTCAGCTGCGGTGCTGTGCAGGGTGTGCATGCCAAAGCATCCACGTCCTTCACCAAAAACACTCTGTGCAAGTACCGCAGCTGCGAGGTGTTTCAGCTTTTCTGTGTGCATGGTAATAGCGCGATCCCTGAAAACGCAAAGGAGTTGTTTTTGTGTGGGGAGGATCTTGCTTTCTTTTCCCAAACCCAAACTTTTTCTGGTGTGTATAAAACACTTGTGCCACGATTGTAAATCTTGCCTGATACCCGTTTAAAATTCAAGTCCTCCTCCCCTGCCGGGAACCAGCTAGCCATCGCTGTGGCCGCTGCTGCTCACAGTTTGGTTCTCAGTAGCTGCGGAGGCAGGAGCAGAAACCTTCCTCTGGCCGCCGGTCCCCTGCGATAGCAGCCGCAGCCTCGCTGCTGAAAACTCCCCAGCCCGTGGCTGGGGCTGTGCAGAGGGAGGGCGAGGGAGCGAGCCCCCCGTGGGACCCCCAGAGCCAGCGGGCGATCACGGCCGCCGTTTTCCTTTGGAAGTTTGGGAAGCATCATCACGGGTACTGCGTTCAGTGCATGAGTGTCTCCAAGTCCATCTCCTCCCAGGAAGTTCTGGCGTATCGCACAACCTCCCCTCTGCTCTCGTCGGGTGCGGTGTAAGTATCGTAAAGCGAGAAACAACGAGAAAACATCTCTAATCCCTCTTTCATTTTACTACCCAATTCTGTGTTCCTGCTGAGGGCAGGGCTCCGATGTTTTCCCGCTTACCGGGTTTTATTTTCCATTCTATTTAGTAGCATAACAGAAGGAAAAGATTTCAGGCGCAGCGTTTCCCTCTGCCAGGCGTCTCGCCGTGGTTTCCACTGGGTGTCAGCACGGCCCCGCGCTGGGGCCGGGGCGGCAAGGAGCCCTGCCAAGCCACCGCCGGCTTTCCCTTTGGCTGCACCCACCGCTGGAAAAACTAGGTTGGCTGCATAACCAGAGCAGGGTGCTGGCTGAGGTGCAGTTTGGCGATGATGGGATCGCCCGGCGCAGGCGCGAGAGGTGGGTGAGCTGGGAAGGGGCTGTTTTGCTGGAGATGCTATTTCCTTTTCCGAGCAGAACAACCGGTTGGAGCGGGAGGAGTGTCGAACGTGCCCTCGTCGTTCCAGTGCTCTCTAATTAGGGTTACATCTGGGACAGCGGGTCCTCGTTTCTGGAAGATCGGCGTGAATAACTTTTGTAGTATTTACTTTGAAGGTGTGGATGCGATAAAGAGCGCTCCCGGAGAGGTGCTGTGGAGGAATCAGTGTGAGCCGGACTGTGTTCGGCAGGAGGGACAGATCAGGGCTGCTCGCCCTGCGCCTCCTCCGCACGGAGCCTCCCACTCTTTTTCCACGCTCCGTACGCACCCTGGCTTCCCAGTTATAAAAGTTGGGGAAGGGGCCTGGGGATCCCCCACTGCCCCGTGCGGGAGGGCAGGAGCAGCTGGAATCCCTACGCTGGGATGCTCGACCTCGGTGCTGGGAAGAAGGCACAGTGTCCCAGCCGGCCGTGGGAGCTGGCATCCCCTTTGCCGGGCAGTTGTGGAAAAGGTGCTGCTGCGTGCCGGGGCATGCAGGATCTCGGGGGGAGCACGCATTGGTGCAAAGAGGCGAGTGGTTTGGCTGAAGGTAGTGCCAGGCGCTTTGAGTTTCTTCCAGCAGATTCTTCCCTCAGACACCTAAACGTTAAAAAAAAAATCAAGGCCATGAAATATCACAATTAACGAGACTTTCTGATGCTTGCGTGCAACCGTGTTTCTGCACGCTGACATACCTGGTTATGCTACGCTGCACCCTCAGAATAGGGTTGTTTATTTCGGCACCCACCTTTAATGACAGCGTCAGGCCTCTTGGCTTGGACTCGGAGAGTTTTTAGGTTCTGCAAGTCATAACAAACCTGCTCCCGAGCGGCCACGTCTGCCCCGTAGGAAAACCAACAACCAGCATTCAAGTCCCAACCAGCCACCAGCCTTCACGCTCCCACAGAAGCGGCTGGGAAAGCGGCACGTGCGGAAACACTCGCAGCACCCGGAGAACCCGCGGAAACTTTACGCCGAAACACCCTACGCCCTGCCGCTGCGCCTGGTGCACGTAGCAGTGGCACACGTAGTAGTGGTGTGTGTAGTAGTAGTGGTGTGTGTAGTAGTGGCGCGTGTAGTAGCGGTGCGTGTACCCCACAGTCATCCCAGGTGCTGGAGAGGGGCTCTGGCATCATCCCCTTCCAGGGACCATCGCGGCTCCTCTTTGCCACTCTCCATGAGGACCGACCTGGACTTGGCGGAGTTAGGTTTACGGTTGGACGTGATGAGCTCGAAGGTCTTCTCCAACCTAAGTTGATTTTGTGACCGTGGCTGCTGGTGCCTCTCCGTGCTGCTTGCAGCCCCTCTTCCCCTCGCTGCCTTCTTGCTCCTTCCAGCCTCCCCAGCCCGTGCATGGTGTCCTGCTGCTTAACCAGGCTGGGGGTGAAAGGGGGGGGCTTGCCCCCTGCAGTGCCTGTTCCCCCCCCAAAGCAGACGGCTGCTGGGCTGCATGGTGGCTCCTTCGAAGGTCTGCCGGATAAGTGCCGTGTCCCTGCTGTGCCCTGGGCAACGGCATGGGCTCAGCCTCAGGAGGAGCGAGGAGCTGTGTAAAGCAACCGTAAAAATGCCACCTTCCTGCCCAACAACTCTAGTCTCCGAATTTTCAGAAGCAAAATTGCTGACTTCGGAGGTAGGAGTAAGCTCCTGCCTTTTTATTCCTGCGAGCTCTGGAGAGTGTAAGTAGGTAAGAGGAGACAGCTGGATTTGGGGTTTGATGGTGCGTTATTACCAAATTGTTTGCAGAGTCCCAGCTGAAGGCAGCGGGGGCGAAAGGGTGCCAGGCAGGATGGTGTTGGTAAGTAAGGTGACCGCAAAATGGTTTTGCAGGCGGCGTTGCGAACTAGCAGGCAGAGTCTTTATTATTGGTGGTGATATGCAAAACGGATCCAGCTTAAAACTGTTCCAGCAAAGATTTGGGGAGGGGGGAGTTGCAGGACTGGCACCAATTTTGCTTGTAAACCTGCAGCATTCATTGTGGAATCACCGAAACCGTAAACAGGAGCTCCTGTGGTACTGTGTTATGGTGGTTTTTTGGGGCAGAAACGCTGCCCAATGGCCACCTGGCACCGCTGAGCAGCTCCTCGGGATGCGTGTGCTTCTCCCAGCAGCAGCTCCGTGCCCGGCGTTCGCTTCGATACCCAGCCCCGTGCAGGGCAGAGCGCGGGCTGGATGCGGCCCGACTTTGAATTTGCCAAGCGGCTCGCTCATTTGTTTTTTTTCCCCCTACTACTGTGTTTTTAAGAAAAGCAAAATAATTTCCCGTGGCGGTGTTTGTTTCTGTTTTTTCTAGCAGGCTCAAGTGGGCAGCAGCATCCCAACATTTCCGAGCTGGAAGAGCTCGCAGCGGCGGTTCCCCGGGGTCCTCGCTCCTCCATCCCGGGGGGATGCAGCAGGGACCACCCTGGCCCACGGGACACCTGCGCAAAGGCTGGTCGGTGCTGGTGCCGGCTCGTTTGCGGTGGGTGCTGTGCGGTGCCCTTGGCGAGGAGGGATCCCCTCTGCCAGCCTGCCGCGGGGGGACGCGGAGGGGGTCACCGGGAAAGCCGGTGTCCCTCTTGGCTTACGGAGCTGCTCGCGTCCTTTTTTTTGCCCGCTGTTTCCTTGCCGAATTTGAAGCCTGCCGTGCCGCTGCCTCCCTGCAGCCTCCACACCAAGGGCATTTCCACCTTGGGGGGACTGTATCCCCCACAGCACGGCTTCTGTGGCTTGGAAAAGGAGATGTGTTAGAAACTTATGGTTGCAGATTAGCTGTTAACTTTAGATTCGCGCCAACCCCCAGCCGTGG